ACAGCATGTCCAATGTATGTGAAATGAAGTTTCACCATCCTTGCCCCTAGGGAGCATTCTGGCTGCACTTTCTCCAAGACATACCTGTTTGTTCTTTTGCTAGCTCATGCAGAATGGATAAAAGAGAAGGGTGTCATCCTCCCTTCTCCCCTCCTGAGCTCCACAGAATCCCTCTTAACCTTAAAGCCCAACGTCCAGGGAGAAGTGCTTAGTGACCCGTTTTATGGATGAGTCTCTGAGGCTGTGAGGGGACAACACAAGATCTCTGATGGCCACAATCCTCTCAGCCTCCCAGTTGGACCCCAGCCCCCAGCACCTCCCACCCTTAGGTGCACCCATCTGCAGGGACCTCTGGAACATACCTACACCTTTCTGAGCTCAGTTTCCGTAGCTATAAAATGGGGTGAGTAATGCCTCCCTCCTATGGTCAGTGAAAGAATGAATGAATTTATTTTGGCCAAATGGCTGCACAGCATGCTTCCTTCACCTTTCAGTGGTCACAGTCGGCGTTAGATGGAAGTCACCAATCCTGTTCATTCTAAACTCAGCAATCCAGGTTAAAGACCTCCCACTTCACTCCTAGGTATGGAAAAAATTCTCGAACGTTTGCTCACTTTTATGTACACTTCACCCACCGTGTTGCACACCAGCTCACGTGCACATTTGCATATGTGTGCATTCAGAAGTGCTCACCAAGCCTCCGCCACGCGCCGGGCCCTGCGCTTGGCGCTGGGGCCTCGGACACCGGGATGACCCTGGACGACTCAAGAATTGAGTCTCATGGGGAAGACAGATTCCGTTTGTCTCCTGAGTTCTGCCTTCTGGTGGTCTTAGAGAACACATTTGAATGCCAAGAGCTGCCACATCGCGTCCCCCTGGTTTCCAGACGAGGAGCGATGGCTGAAATGGTTCCCAGTGCCGGGATCTTCGCCTCCCATTACCAGGACTGGCGGAGTCTGTGCAAAGACGCAGCTCTCCTTGGCAGCGGAGCTGAGACAAGGTCTGAATGAGCCCAGGAACTCAATGAAGGAAAAGGCGAGAATTGGAAGAAAGGCTGGGGAGGGAACCCAGAAGCAGTGGGAGGTCTGCGCCCTGGAGCCCCACGAAAGCCCTTCCAGGCCCATTTGGCACCGACTCTGCCCGCCCTCCAGGCGACCAAGCAAAGGCCGGCCCCAACACGCACCCGGCCCTTTGTGGCAGGGAAGCACAAAGGAAAGGAAAGATGTGTCTTCCGTTAGGACGGAGGAGCGTACAGAACCGGACGCTCAGGCCAGCCAGGAACCCCCTGGAGTCGCGGCCGATTGGCCCAGGCGAGCGAGTGCTCAACTCCGCAGGGAGGGACTTCGGCCCAGCTGCGCGCGGGTGGGAACTGTGGCGCAGAGGGGGCCCGGGCGGCGCACAGCCGGTAAAAAGCGCGAGTGCGCGCCGGGGCGCCGGGTGCAGCGTGTAGGGTCTGGAACACAACAGAGCTGTCAGATTCCAGTTACCAATTATTCTGATTTTCCCGGAACTCCAGGTCTTTGGGGAGGTAGGGTGTAAATCTCAAAGGCATGGCAGGGATTTGTCCAGCGTCTGATGTATTCCTGGGCTATAAGTACCCAGGGCTACACAGACCCCCTCTAACACCCAAATAACTCCGTTGAAGGGAGAGTGTTGAGGTGCAGCCCAGAACCGCCAGCCCGCGACCCGGGCGTGGAGGGTTCGGACCGCGAGGGGCCGCTGCACAGCGCCAGAACTGCCACTGCCGCCGCCACGCGGTGCCTCGGGGCTGGAGCCAGGGGGCCTCCCGATGAGTATCCGCCCAGAAACCCGGCCAGAAGCCTGCTCTTCTGCCTCCAAACTCCGTGAGTTCCTGGACTCTAGCATGGCGCTGTGCCAAAACAGCTGCCCCCAACTTTCACCCCTGCCTTCACCTTCAGTTATTGGAACATCTGCATAACGCAGCCGGACCGCGTACCCTCGTGCACTGTCGGACTTGGGGAAGCATCATAAGAATCGACTGGGCTGTGGAACGAGTGCGGGCGACTGAATTAACCTTGCAGCCTTCAGCCCAAGCGCGCATTCGTTGCGCCCGCTTGTGTTTATTAACTACGCTGGCTGGCGCCCCGCTCCACGCCGCGGCTGGGATGCCCACAGCGCGCACCCGCCCTGTGCTTCCTCCCGGTGACACGCGAGGCCTAAACCGAGATCCCGAAGTACCACATCAGAGCTTTCTCTGCTCTCCGTCCCGGCCCCTGCGTCCCTGTGACAGATTCTCCTAATTGAACGGTTGTGGGTCACCCTTGCAACCGTTGGACAACATATTACCACGCTTCAATTCTTAATGTTTTAAATACATATTTAACGGATGGCTGCAGAGCCAGCTGGGAAACACGAGGGTTGAAAAATAATGCTCCAGAAGGCACGAGCCTGAGTGAAGGGGGGGGAGGCGAGGGGGGGTGGGCAATAAAATGGATGTAAGTCTGGTGTTTTGTTTTTTTTTTAAATCTGATAATTGTGTTACTTGCAAACTAAATGTTTCTATTTATTTGCTTATTTTTTTTTTTTTAGATTGCACATGTAAATTAAAGGTTCTGAGGCTATGGGGTAACCAGAGAGATATGGCAGACCCCTAGAGGGAAAGAAGGGATGATTCTGGGCCCTTGACAAGCTGGCTTTCAGGAGTATGGGAAACTCATGTAGTAGAAAGGACCAAACTTGACAAATTCAGCTCCATCTAAGGCAACACCACCCTCACTGAGCCCATTTCCGTCTGATCTCGGAAGCTAAGCAGAATGAGACCTGGTTACTACTTGGACGGGAGCAATGCAGCTCAGGGGAAAGCCTAGGAGTTAGGGAGATGGGCGCCCACTTTTGTCGTAAGGACCGACTAAAACACTCATCTACACTCTAGGTAGAGTCGCGCTGTAAAGGCTCACACCATTTTTTTTATAGGCTTGCTGCAAAGATGTTAACTGATTTCCCCCATCTGTTAAATGGGTGAGTGCGTTGGTACCTCTTAACTACCTCAGGTGGGAGCTTCTCCAGATCCCTTGACTTTTTTCATGGCCCAAGTCAGCCGAGTTAGGGAACCAGGAGACCGGCCATAAAATTTGTCAGTGTTTAGACCTGTCTGGCCCACAGAGTTGGGGAGCCTTTATTCAGAACTAACACCCGCTTGCAGACAAACCAGAGTTTCCCTCCTTTCCTTGTCGTGGCTCATAGAGTCGCTAGGAGTCGTGCTGAAGGCAATCAACAATAACAACTTGTCGTGGGGACACCCAGGAAGATGATACCCAAAGCACCGTTATGTTTTCTGAAAGACTGAGAAAGGTGCTTAACTCCATGCTCACCCTCTGCTGTAAGCACGTTTACTGCGCGTACACCACCGTCAGCTCTACGAAGAGTTGCGATTTCTTTCTAAATCCTTGGCTGAGTGGCATGACGGTCCTCCTACCTTACCCCACTGCTGACCTCACAGACACTGTCCCCGGCTGAGGGCGCTACTGGCTACCCGCGAGCTGCGATAGGGGCCGCCTCCTAGGAGGGCAATTAGAGCGCAAAGAAAGCGCCAGCTTTGGGTATGTTCATTGACTTTGGAGGGCCCCAAAAATGCCTACGTGTTTGAGGTGGGGATAGGCAGCGATACCCTGGAGAAAAAGAAATAGAGAAGAAATGCGGAGAGCTAGGAGATTCCGGGCACGGCTCCTTGGTGGCAGGGTTACCCGCTGGTTCTCTTAAGCAGCAGGTTTGGTGAGCAGGATGCCGCAGCGCACATTACCTCTGGTCTGACTCTGCTGCGAATGCGTCTTTCTAGATGTTTGGCTAAGCTCTTTCTCTCTGGGTCCCCACGCAGCACTTCCCGGGCTCCTAGTGCCCTCAAGGCCGGCTTCCCCCCTCCTCTTAGTCTCCCCCCCTTCCCTCCTCTGTCCTCCTCCGGTCCCTCCCGAAGAATCTGGTGGCCGCGGGCTCCCATTGGTTGGACGTGGGGAGGAGGCGTGTGCCGGGCCGGGGAGGTTTCATTGAGCGGAATTAGCCGGGATGACATCAGCTTCCCAGCCCCCCGGGCGGGCCCTGCTCATTGGCGCGGCTGCGCCTCTAGGACAAGCACATTGTTCCCCGCCCCCGCATCGGCCACTGCTGCGGTTGCGGCCGCCGCTAGACTATAAAAACACGCCGAGCCCAGAAAGGTGCGGAGGCTTATTAAATAGATCGACTTGACCCCAGCGCTCGAAGCTACTTCTCCGCCCAGGCTTTCCAGAGCGAGTTCTCCGAATCGCATCCACAGTAAGTGTCCCCTCCCCTGGGCCTGAAACCCTGAGGCAGAAGCTCCCCAAGTCGGCCCATCCTGCCCCTACCTGCTAGTACCCCGGAGCTGCCTCGCAGCTCTGACCCTCCCCGCACTCCCTGTTAGATCCTTTTCGTCCCAAAGTCTGGGCGGCAACAGTTTCCACTGCTCACACCTCCATCTTCCCGCAAGTTCCCCTCCGCCCTGGGACTCCGCAATTTGGACCCGGCGCCGCAATGGCTAGGGGGCGTGGGTGCGCGCGCGCGTGTTTGCCGCGCGTGTCGGAGAAAGATGAATGCGTTTGAGGAACCAAATACTCCGTTTCGTTCTCCGCTCTCCCCAAAGAAAAGCTCTCACTTGGCACTCGTTCCTGTCAGCCTTCCGGCCCCTAATTGAAGGCGCAAACCTCTTGGACGCCGCCCTTCCAGCCCTCAATTGTGAGGGCCACCCAGAGCTCCCGGGAATAAAACAACCTGTGGATGGGGCCGGAAAGGAGGTGGCCAGAGAGGACTAGTTTAACTGTGGTTGCACGCATGGCACTAGGTGAAGGCCAGCGAGAGCAGGAGCAGCGAGGGGGACGCGGGGCAGCCCCACACTCGCCTGCGGTGCAGGCGGGAGCAGAGTGTCCTCGCGCTTTGACTTCTCTTTTTCTCTCTCTCCACCTCCCGGTTTCATCTCCTGTCTGCAGGAGGTGAGCTTGAAAGCCCCTCCAGTCAAAGGAAGGAGGAACCTGCAACCACTGAATCTACCGCCTGGGGCCATGGACTCGGACGCCAGCTTGGTGTCCAGCCGCCCGTCGTCGCCAGAACCCGATGACCTTTTCCTACCAACTCGAAGCAAGGGCAGCAGCGGCAGCAGCTTCTCCGGGGGCACCGTGTCCTCATCCACCCCGAGCGATTGCCCGCCTGAGCTGAGCGCCGAGCTGCGTGGAGCCATGGGCGCCGCGGGCGCGCACCCCGGGGACAAGTTGGGAGGAGGCGCCTTCAAGTCCTCTTCCAGCAGCTCATTGTCCACATCGTCCGCGGCCGCGTCTTCCACCAAGAAGGACAAGAAGCAGATGACAGAGCCCGAATTGCAGCAGCTGCGCCTGAAGATCAACAGCCGCGAACGCAAGCGCATGCACGACCTCAACATTGCCATGGACGGGCTGCGCGAGGTCATGCCTTATGCGCACGGCCCGTCGGTGCGCAAGCTTTCCAAGATCGCCACGCTGCTGTTGGCGCGCAACTACATCCTCATGCTCACCAACTCGCTGGAGGAGATGAAGCGGCTAGTGAGCGAGATCTACGGCGGCCACCACGCGGGCTTCCACCCGTCGGCCTGCGGTGGCCTGGCCCACTCGGCTCCCCTGCCCGCCGCCACCGCTCACCCCGCCGCCGCCGCGCACCACCCGGCTGTGCACCACCCCATCCTGCCACCTGCCGCCGCCGCTGCCGCTGCCGCCGCTGCGGCCGCCGCAGTGTCCAGCGCCTCCCTGCCCGGTTCCGGGCTGTCGTCGGTCGGCTCCATCCGGCCCCCCCACGGCCTGCTCAAGTCCCCCTCGGCGGCAGCCGCGGCTCCACTGGGGGCCGCAGGCGGCGGCAGCGGGGGCAGCGGCGGCTTCCAGCACTGGGGCGGCATGCCCTGTCCTTGCAGCATGTGCCAGGTGCCACCGCCGCACCACCACGTGTCGGCCATGGGCGCGGGCAGCCTGCCGCGCCTCACTTCCGACGCCAAGTGAGCCGGCCACGCGGGCGAGCTCCGAAGAGCCGGCAGGCGTGGGCTGGAGGCAGCGCGGACGCGAGACCTGGCGGAGCCTGGGGCCTGCGAGCGCTGTTGCAACCTGGGGCCTCAGGACCAAGGGCTGGGGGGTGGGAGGGCGATGCTGGAGACTCTGGGGCCTGGGAATTGAAGCAATTGGCTTGCACCCTGAGGCGTGGGGATCGAGGGGGCGTGCACCCTGAGACTTGGTTTAGTCCTCTTGGGCTTTAGACAGCGCTGGTCCGATAGACACTGTTTTCTAAAAAGGCACCACTACCTGCATCGCTCCCCTGACCTCGCTCCTCCCAGAAAGATACTTTGAAAACTTTGCTTTTTAGGAACTTGGCCTGACCTGGGCCTGACAGCACTTCGTTGTGGGGTGGGGTGTGGGGACTCCTCCCTACCCTCTCTTTCCTCCCTTCCTGGCCGGTGGGAGACTGGAGCCGCTTCTGGAGCTTGTTCAGGAGCGAGTCCTGGGCTCGGGCACCGACGGGCCTAGCATTGGGTCCCCTATGCACGTAGGCTGTGGCCAGGCTCTCCAGCAGAGAAAACTGGCCACTGGGAACTGTGGCGTTCTTCGCGGTCGCCCCTGTCGGTGGAGGTTTGCGCTTTTCTAATAAATCTATCGATGCTCCTTTTTCAAAATTACAAGCAAGCTTATAGACGGCCAGAATACAAATGCTGCGGAACGGAGTAACACAAACCTGCTGACTTTGGGGGGCCGGTGTCCTTTTTTTTTCTTAGTTATGATTTTAAAATAGAAACTCCCTCCCCTCGATGTTTCTGCACCTGAGCACAAAGCGATTTGGGTTCATACCCGATTGGGGCAGTCGTCTTGGTACTTAAGCATTTGTCTGGACTAAAAAGCTGTCGGAGTGACTGCAGTGTGGACTGTTGACGGGTTTCATCAGATTTCTTTTCTATTTCCTGGGCGTGTAAATATCATATCAGTGAGGAGGTAAGTGTGCACCGCTGGGTTACTTCTATTTTGGTGTCTTTCTTTATTCCTTTCTCTCTCTCTCTCTTTTTTTTTTTTGCCAAATTTAACACCACCATCTCCCCGTGTGCTTCCTGCGCACCTTGCCTGCGCTCTGCGTGCGCTGCGCCCTGGGCTCCTCCGCCCGCCGGGGACACTCCTCCCTGTCGCCGCTCCTCGCAGAGTCTATCATCTGTTTTATTTTTGTAAAAAAAAAAAAAGTGCTAAATAATATTTATTACTTGTTTGGCTGCAAAGACGAAATAAATGATTGAGTGCTGAGATTTTAAATGTAAAGCAAGTCTGGCGTTCTCGGCGGGCGCGGGCGGGGCCGGATCCTCGGCGGGTGCAGACTTGGGCTGCCTTTGCGGGTGGGTGCGCGCCCTGAGTGCGCGCCTTGGGATTCCTTGGAACTGAATTGGGGACCCAGTCCACTGATCATCGCCCCCTCTCCCCAGTACGTGTGTCTGTTCACCGTCTACTTATTCTCTTTAAAATCAGTATGTTCTAACAGCTTGCCTTTTTAAAAAAAATTTTGCTTTCCTACGCCTAATTCTGAACTCACTTTGGTTGAGGATTGTTGCTTGGAAATGAATCTTTTTCTCCCCACAAGCGGAGCTTAGGGCCTTCGGGGTGAGAACCATATCTGCCCGGAGAGTCCTGGCGCAGGGCCCCCTCGGGGTCTTGTTTTTCTAGACTTTCTCCTCCCAGGGGGTCTCGGGCTCCCACCCCGCCCCGCCAACCCTCGCTGGCGTTCTTGGCTTCAGCCGCAGCCCAGCCCCCTGAGACTCAGTCCTGCAGCCTCGCGGCTGTGGCCAGCAGAGCGCTTTGAGGTTGGGTGTGGGGTCCAAAGAAAAGAGGAGAGCGAGCGAGCGCCTGGATAGCCTGCAGCAAGCAAGGTGGGTCCCACAAACATCCGGTCACCTCGGGCTGCTTTTCTCATCACCTACGACGGGATTTGCAGCAAATTTAGGGTGTGGTTCTCAAGAAAGATTACTTTAAAAAGCCTTGGCCCTCCTCTCAGGGAAAGACCGTGGGGTCATTTCCTGGCTGGCGAAATGACCCCAGAAAGGACCGCCTGGTTTGGGCGCAGATGCCCAGCATCCTCTGGGCACAACATCTTAGGTAATCGGTCAGTCACAGGAGGAAGGCCCTTTCGAGAGGGAGGTGATTAAATTGGTTCGGAGGGAACCTGGGATTGTGGGAAGACTTCACTTTATGGAATCTTATTTCTATGCGCCAGTCTCCTGCCTGAGGGCAGGTCCATCCCTAGCCCTGGACAAGTGCGTCCCAATTCTCCACCCGATCCAGCAGACTACCAGCCATAAAGTTAAATAAAGGTCTGGCTGGTGGCCTGCTGTGAGTCTTCACTTCTCAGGAGAGGCTGGACAATTCAGAGAAGGCTGGCGGAAGGTTGAAGGGACCAGCGCTGCGCGTGTAGGCCCCCAAACCAAACCCACTGCCAGTTCATTCTGACACATAAGGCTGTAATCCTTAGAAAAGCAGGTCGCCACATCTAACACAGAACTTTCGCCAGCTTTGCGATTTGGAAGCCTGAGGTTAGGACATAGTAACTTCTCTACCAACTTCTCAGTTAAAGCAAAACCTGCTAAAAATGAGAACTCCACTTGCAGACACTCATGGAGGTCAGGGTGAGGCGTTGACTACTGGACTGGTGGGATTGAGACCTCCAGAGAGATGTGGGGATGGGGGCTAAACTGCTATTGAGGCTTCTTTACCCCTTCCCCACTTCCTGGCAAGGCACAGGTGTGTGAGTATGCTCTGTATGTGTGCACCGTGTGCTTGGAGGGGGACTGTCAAGGGAAAAATCAATCAACAAAGTCTCCATGTGCCCAAGTTCACACCCAGCGTCCAGACACTAGCCAGACTAGAACTGGGCCTCCCAGGCACAAAGGACAGATCCAGTTAGGCCCCAGGTTTGCCAGTTGTGACCCTGGGCTGCCAGGTGTGAAAGCCTCATCCAGGACTAGGAGATACACAGGAGCTCCCAGACCAGAGGTGCCTGGGGTAGGTGGCTTTCTGCTGGAGGAGCTCTAGTTTTGGATGAAGCTGAAGTGGAGGTGGGTGCGAGGGTCAGGGATAAACCTTGAAGTAACTGGGTTGGCTTCAGTGAACCCTTAAATGAGGGCAGGCACCCAAAGAATGCAACATTTGCAGCCCTAGGAGTGTGCTGCAGCCTGTGGGAGACGGCACTAGCACCACAGATCTGTTCCAGGGGGCTTCAGACTGAAGGTTCTCTAGTGTGGTTCTGCAATAGCTCTGGGTTCCCAGTCATCCGAGATTCCCAGCTTTCCACAGGATGACTTCTGGCTTTCATGAGCCACCAAGGTTCAAGAGATGGACTCTCCCTTCCCCAGCCCTTGACTGAGATAGGAATGCATGGTGTGCCTCCACTGACCATTCACCAAATCCTCTAAGCCCCATGGTACTGCCATGGGCCCTAAGCCCACTGGGCAGAAGTCACCAAAAATCCCAATTTCCTGGGCCACCAGAGGTTCTTGGAAGAATGACTTGGTGCTGGAGGCTGCCCTAGAGCATTGCAGGGGCATCGTAAGGACCACTGGCACCTGTGAGATGGGAAATCGGTATCACTGGGACAGCACTTAAAGCAGAAAATGCTGTCGTGCAGGCATTAAGTGCAAAAGCAGCAGCAAGCAATACTGGTGGCCCACTGGGGCTGTCAGAATAAGTGAGTGCCAGGGACATGCATATAGAGCCTGCTCTTCTCAGTCCCAGCCTGGAACCTACAAAGAGATCTAGGGCTGATGTCTTTGAGTTTAAGGCTCTCTAAAGGCAAACAGTTTAAATTCACCAGCTGCTCATAAAAGAGAGAGTAGCAATCTGCTCTCCTGATATTTACTGCCTCTAAACCCTCGCCGGAGAAGGATGGGCAGTCTACTCCTATGTGAGTAGCTGCCTTGGAAAACTGCCAGAGGGTCAGCTATGGGTGGGTTCCAACTCAATGGTACACAACAACAATAGCAACAAACCCACTGTAGAGTCAGCTATTCAACCATGTTGTTGTTAAGTGCCGTCAAGTCCACTGCAACTCAAAGCAACAACAGATGTTGAACAACAGATCTGAACCCTGCCCTATCCTATACCACCTTTATCACCCCTGACACATTTGAGCTCATTGCCGCAGATGCTGTATCAATCCACGTTGTTGAGGGTCTTCCTCCCTTATGCTGACCCTCCACCTTTCCAAGGAAAAGACTCTCCTACAACTTGTCTAAAATTGATGAGACAAAGCTTTGCCTTCTTTACCTCCAAGGAACACTCTGGTTGCACTTTCTCTAAGACATTTCTCCTTGTTCTTTGTCAGTTCATGGGATATTCAGCTCTCCTCTCCACAACACAATTGTACATAACAACAAATGCTCTTAAGAGAGCTCTAGTGGCCTAAAGGGTAAGGAGCTGTGATGCCAATCCAAAGGCAAGTAGTTCAAATCCACGAGGTGTTCTGCAATGGACAATTTTTTAACCTGGTGCATTGTGCAGTCTCTGAAAACCCACTGAAGGCTCCACTATGAGTTAGTTCAATTCCACAGCACAGGACAACAAATTCTCTTATGAGTAAAATTATACCAGCAGTGGAGAAATGCCTGTCTATCTTTTTTTAGGGTAGAATCCACCTGACACATTTGCTGGCTGAGAGCTCGCTTAACGCCTCCTAGACATTAAAGTGAAGGATCCTGCTACACCTGACCCAGCCCTTCTTTCAGAATTTTCCACTGTCCTACCATCCTAGGGGACAAGGGGGCATTTGTTTGAGCCCTTCAGGAAAAGATCTTAAGACACTTTGTGAGAGACAGGCTTCACAGCCATCATCTTGGAATCCTGTTAAGTGGGGCCAGAAGCAGGTTTGACCGTGGCTGCTGCAGAGAATCCTACCTTAGCTGATGAGGGACCTCTGGAAGCTTGGAGGCTGTAAGACCCTCCAAGGCCCAGACACCCATAGCTAAGGCTCCCCACTCCCAGCC